TCCCTTCGCAATGAAAGTTTTATAAGACCTTGAATTGTAATAGAAGTTTTACAGTCACAGATGATGACAGTTAGCAAAGCGTTCCCATTTCCCTAGAAAATGGTGTTAAATTAGGGTCTGTGAAGGAGAGAAGAGCTGCGCTTGTGCTCTCAGTATTGAATCTTCATCCTTGTGGAGGTTAACATGGTATTTGGGCAGTGATTGCAAAGAGTTAATATTCTGAACTTTAAAAATGCATACGAAACAGAGGGGAGGATGGAATAAGAGGGGGGTGCTTGTGGTTAATGGGGACTGAGAGTGCACCGGTGGAGATTAAATAAAAACACGAGTGAACTCGCTCACCATCCCATTTCTTACGCTGGTCTGTTCTTCTTTTACTCTCCATTCTCTCACAGCAATTACATATCACTGAACACTGCGAAATTAACTATATAAAACCTTTTTTTTTTTTTTTGGTAGTTTCCAGGGGAGTTGAACTTGTACTGCTTACCTTTTTCACATTTTACAAAGGATTTGGCCTCCCATAGCCAAATTTTGCCCAGTTAACCGGGGACACGAATCGCCTGTGCACCTCTGGAGCAGTCCTGCCTGGCTGGGTGGGTGCTGGGCTCCGGGTTTGTCCCTCCTGTTCTGGTGGGAATGGGGCTCTTCTTTACCCTCCAGTTCCTTTGCCATCTGACTTTCTGATTGCTTCAAAATCTCTGCTGTTGTTACTTCGGTTTGAGAACTGTTTTGTTAACTCAGTGAAGGAGATTCCAGAGGAATTTTTTTGATTTCTTAATGTCTATTTCTTAGTGTTGCTGTATTTTATCTGGCACTGGTGTGTGCTGTGGTTAGAACCACAGCAGAGTTGGCCACTAAAACTTTTCTTTGGGACCGTCGAGTTGCCCTGGAGCCGATATTTAAAGTCTACATTACATATGCAAACTCAGGACAGCCATTCCCATTTGCAGAGGAAAGGCAACTTTCAGCTTGTGACAGCTGCCTGCTGTGCAGGAGATAACCAGGGAGCTGGTTAAAATACATAGAATTTCAGTCTTATGAGACTTTTCCTCATCTTTGTATTTGCATTTTTTCTGCATCAGAATAAAAACAAATATTTTTAATCAGAGTGAAATTCTTAAATACATTTTTGGGTATTTTCTTGTTAGTCTTTTGTCTGGATTTTTCAACATTTTAATTAATATTATTGTTTCTTTTTTTACAGAATACAGAAGTGTTAGATGATATGGCTTGTCTTTAAAATAGATTATTTTAAAATAATTTAGAACAGCTGCTTCCTAGTGGTTGAGTCATCTCATTTTCTAGATTAGAGTCTCTTGTTTGTTTTGTAATGAAATGGTTTGACACTTGGAACAAGAAATTAAGATAAATACTCGGCATACCAACTAGAAGAGCAGGTGTTTTTTTCAGTATCCCTCTTATTGTAGGAAAGTGCTGTATTTCTTCTCCAGACATGTTCCTGTGCTTGTATAAATTACTGCAGAGTTGGAAATTTCCATAGTTTCTTGAAAATTTTTCGGTGCCTGATTCCCTGAAGTTTCTCTTGCTTCAGAACTTTTAGTTTGAATCAGTTAGGGAGAGGAGTGGCAACTTCTTAGTGTCTTCGTTTCACCCAGTTATAATACAATCCATGATCTATTTACACATGAAAACCAACATATAAGTGACATATTACAGCATCTTTTAATTCTAGAGGAGAAATCCTCTGCCACAGAGCCATGTGTACACACAGACATATAGAGTGCAGCACTTCTCGGATATTCCAGTGAGGAAATACCAACAACTCCAGTAACTGGAGATGATCCTGGCTGTGAGAAGTGGTGCAGGGATGGCTGGGGAGCCTGGGGTGTGCACAGGCTGGATGTGGCAGGGCAGGGGGAGGGGAAAAATTATTCTTTTTCTGAGCTGGAAGAGAATTAGTCTCCTTTTCCAAATATCTGTGTTTAGGGCTCCTTCATCTGGTTCACCTGTGGTTGTACTGCTTAACCACCAGCACTCGGCAATTACAGAATCCCTCAACCACTAAAATCTTTGTGCAGAGGAGTGTAATAGCCCTCATTTGGTACATGGCAAAATGGAGCCTCGGAGAACATCGTGGTCATGAAAAAAGTTGTCGGCAGAGGGGGACACACAGCCCATGGGCTCTCGGGGCAGTGGCTGTAGATGCTTTCCTCACTGCTTCAGGCATTCACAGCTCTTCTTGTGGAAAGCAGAGAAGAGCTCAAGACTAACAGTGAACTGGTAACCAGCTGTATCTGCGGGCACCAGTACGCTCACCAGTCCCTTAACCATTTCTGCTTGTGGATTGAATGACGTTAGCTGGACCACATGCAGAATTTTGTGCTGCTGTTTTCCTGTTCTCTGTGTTGGATCCATGCACTGTTCACGTATTAAAGTGAAATGTTATGTTTTGGGGACAAGGATTGCTTTCTCTAACCATCTGCGCATCACCTGGATTAATGGGGTTCGTACCTATCGGAATAGGGCGTCTGCTGCAGTGACAGTAATCTCACCGTTGGGCTATACCACAAATCGCTCTTTACTGCAGTTTATATAGCCTAAAAAACAGTTTTGGGGAAGACTGAGATCTGATTTGAGTAAACAGTCTTCCTGAAAATTAGCCCAAACTTCAGTCCCCAATCATGAGCATCTCTAGTTTTCTCCTTCCCCGCTTCTCATGAGTTGAACCCAGGTTGTTTTAAGGTCCTTTGTCCTCATATTCTCTGCTATAGTCAGCTGAAAAAGAGACATTTTTCTAAAGTCAGTGACTTTCCCTGTTTGGTTTCTTTTTTTTTTTTTTTTTCTTTTCGCTCTTGAAAGCTTTTCTATTTCTGTTTGCCTTAAGGGGATAGTTTTTTGAATGAACAAAACTAACTCATTTTGTAGTGATTTGTTGAACTGGTGAAGGCAGCTGAATGCTTTTATTTCTATGGAGATCAAGGACAAATGCATCTTGCACTTCTAGCCTTCTGTGTAATGTTTTTGAAAATAAATAGCCCTGATTTTGCATAGGCTACTACCTGGGTATCCTGCGAAGGTGGTTGTCAGTGGCCCAGCACTAGGAAGCTTTTTCGCAAACTCCTAATCTGCTCCTTCTCCTTTGAAATGTTACAGACTTGCTATTTCTCTAGCACTTGATTTGGATGTAGAGCATACAGATTGCTTCGCTTCATTCCTACCTAACACAACAAATAATTTTTTCTTTCTGGGTTTGGCTGTGGCACATCTCTTCATTTAAGGTTTTTGATGCTCACCCTAACTCTGGTCTTGTTTTTACAGGTTCCCTTGCCCTGAAGTACATTAATACAATAAGAACAGTCAAAATATTGTCCCGTGCCCTGCAGCATTGCATGGTCCTCGCCTTACCTAGGGAAAATGAGTGAACATAAAGATTTCTGTTCCCTGCATTTAATTTTTTGTTTTAAGGAATGTTGGGCTCTTCCTCACGTTGCTGGCAAGTAATAAAAATTTAAAACCAGGTTGTAATTCCTGAAAAAATCAGCAGGTTTTCAATGAAATCACCTGCAAGCTGTTCAATTATTCCTCTAAGAGTTCTGCTTTTGTAATTTCTTGCTGCTTGGTAGACCCCGGTGTAACTCCCAGCCCTTCTCTGTTATGCTGCCCTGTCCTGGGTGTCAGCTCTAAATCGTTCTTCTCTGGCCTGATAGCAGGATTCACATGCTCAAATCCTTCCTCGTGTCAGTAGCATCACCTTCTGTCTCTTATTTATCCTGTTACTATTAAAGCCCCCCCCTTTTAAACATTGTACATTTACTTTTCCTCAAAATGCAACATCTTTCGCCTGTCATAAAGCAAGTGACTCAAAAATTTTCAAAGGCTCTTTCAGCAAAGCTGGGAGTTAGATTTATGTTGGAGTCCTTAATAAAAAATTGAAGACTTGGTGTATTAACATACATTGATTTATTCATAGTGTTTCATTACAAATAAGTGAGGATCCCATCATATCAGGAAAGGTTAGGAGAGCAGCGGAGCGCGTTAGATGATATTGACAGCTCAGTTGAAATTGAGCTGCCTTTGGATTGAATTTGGAACGCAGGGAAGGAATTGGCTGGTAAATAAGTCATGAGCTTGACTTGCAAGTGTCTGTATATCAATGGGGTTGCCATGGGTAAGCGCAACGGAGCTCGAGCAGAATTTCAAAGGTGTGCTTTCAGCTCGGGTTCCTCTAAAGGTGTGTTAGCACCAGCGGCGGGTACTCAGGAACAGCTCTTCAGGTCTGTAACCCTGCTGGCTTGTTCTTTCAGGCGCAAGCCAAGCACGGCAGCACATGTAAACCTGCAAACCCAGGCTGAAAACAGGGGGAGGGAAATGGTGTCAGGAGCTGGCTTACAAGCTCAGAGAAGAAAAGGGCTTTTGTCTAAAGACTTGTTGATACTTATTTCATTTAAACAAACTGTTTCCTTTCAGTATATTCTCTTTAGCACTGAAAAATACTTTCAAAACCTTTGGTGTCAATAAAAGTTTTCCATTGTTTTCAGTGGCCTTTTGAGAAGACTGTTTGCCAGAAGAAAGAAGAAAAACAACAACAAAAAAAAAACCCAAAAAACCAAAAAAAACCCCAACAACTTGATAGAAAACGTATCTATGTTTGCACTAAAAGTTTTCGTATGCTTTGGGGGATTTTATGGGAAAATCTCATGAAAATTCTGCCTGCCATGCTGTGCACGCTGGTTTGGCTGCAGACGTTCTGAGGCTCAGAACAAAAAGCAATTTTTTGCGTCTTTTGTTGTAAATCAGCACATGCTGAGGTTTTAGTGGAGAAAAGAAATTAGTTTTTTCCTAAGTAAAGCCTTGGAAAAATTGTCATGTTTGTTTGCCAGCATCCAAATACAAAACCGCTCACTAGAGATACTGAAATAATATCTGTCCTTGTATGTTCAATGTCTGGTCTCAAGCAATGGCAAGACAGGGGAGCGGAGAAAGGCCAGGTGCAGAAGGCCCCTTATCACCCTACTTTTCTTCTTCTTCATTTGCAGATTACCTACAAGGCCGTTGGGTCTCTGGATCCCAGTGCTGACCTGTCCAGCCAAAGAGGGAAAGTCTTCAAACTAAGGAATGAAACCCATCACCTCTTTGTAGGATTATACCCAGGGACTACGTACTCGTTCACCATCAAAGCCAGCACAGTCAAGGGCTTTGGGCCACCCATCACAACACGGATTGCTACTAAGATTTCAGGTACTGCTTTGGAGAAGAAGAAAAAGAGCTTTCTAGGGCTTTGTTCTTTAGACCTCCAGCTGATGCATAAGACAAATAAAAAGGTATTCAGCTTAGTGTCTACTCTATGAGTTTCATAGGGCAAAGTTTTAAAACTGCAACAATCCAGTATTTGTCTTTGTTCAGGTCACCAATGCAGTGGTTAATTTGTGGATATCTTAAATACCCATGAATATCTTGGTGGAGCATTTTAAATGGGAACCTTCATTAGCTCTACAAATGAACTATCCCTATAATAATTGTTAGTATTGTCTGCGTGTCTGGGAAAACTCCTTCAGTAATGTGGCTTTTATTTTCAGAATGCACTGAAATGGGTGTAATGAAGTAATTGAATTAATAGTGCGAAGAGACTAAAAATAAAGGAGGAAAGCTGTTGTTCTGTTTTCTTTCTGAGTAAGGGTGGAGGGAGGGCTTGAGGTAGGCACACAAGCATATGAAAAGCACTAAAATCAGGAAACTTTGCAAAGAGAAGGTGCATCCCTCTCTAGAGAGAAAAAAAAATGAAACTTAGGCGAGCTATCAGAAAAAAAGATGGATAAAGGGATGGTAGAGATAATATTAGGCAGACGTGTGTAGACTTCAATTTTAACATTTAATTGCTAGCACTAAAATAGGTTCTCTAACAGAGTTTAAAAGTGTAACTTTTTTAGAATACCTTAATTGTTTTATGAGTAAAGCTGAAATAAACATTTGGGACATTCAGGACACTTGTAATGCTTGAAATGACATCTGGGTGCCCTAGGAAAGAGCGCACAACAATGCGTGTTTTCCATTGCCCTAGTTCAAAATCAGTCAGTAAAAATACGTTGTTAGCAGTAAGTGACAGTGTAAATTTTAAGGAAGTAATGTGTGTCCATCCCCTCCACGAACTGCCATCAGGGTTTGAACCCTTGACATTTAGTGTGAAAGCCCAGGTCTGAGCCGCTTGAAGTTCAGGCCATTAACTGTCGGAACAGCTCCATGGACTGTGGGGTTTACGCAGCCCCGCTGTGAAGGAAAGGCACGGCGTGCAGCTATTCACTTGCGACCAGAGAAATAAATAGTGCAGTAATGGCAGTGCTTTTTCCCTCTGATTCACTTTCTTTGCATTTTATTATTCAGTGAGTGCTCAAATTGTGTTAGAAGCCTGCATGATTATGAACTGTGTGCACACTGGGCTCGATTTATCTTTTTTTTTTTCATCTTCCAAACACCTGGTTCACTGTAGGTAGGCATAGACTTCAGGCAGGCATCAGGATAGTCCCTGACATTAGATTATCTCATTGCATGGGCAGTCCTATATGTGTCATTTGGAAATTACTGTTAAACTTGCTCTAAGAGTCAGTCCCAAGGTTAGTAGGGAGAAGGATTTTTGCATTGACTGGAGTGTCCTTGTAAGACTATGGATATCTTAAAATGAAAAGGTCTGTGCTGTAGCAATGTGTGTGTATGTTTATACTGGTGGACACGTTTGGGTATTTCTTAATCACAATTAAATGGCAGAATTCCTGAAGACTTCCTTTTGGGCAGGAGTGGGGTCTTGCAAAATAAGCGTTAAATTGATGCGCAGTGCTTCCTATTTTAGAGAGATCACTGACAATTGTAATTTTATTGAGTTACTACACAACTGTTCCATGTGGAATATGCAAGAAAACTTACTTCAGTGACTTTGACTAATACAGACTCTGATTGCTGAATTACACTCGACACCATTAGCAAGTCTTGCCAAGACCTATAGTTCTTCCATTTACTTCTTCACTATATGGTGTCTCTCACAGCAGATGACTAAACAGGTCTTCTGCACAGCCAGGAGGGGACATCCACGGTCGCTAACATCTCTGAAACAATTCAGTGGCACCAGCGCAGCACTGCAGCTTGGTGAGGAGAAGCTGCTTCAAAGCAGGATAGTGGAGCCTGCAAAGGCTGAACCCAGCCTGTTTTTGGTGTCCAGACCAGCCCAGCGACCTTTTTATAGTACTGCATTGTGCTGTACCACCATCCCTCTGCCCACAGAGGATGCTGAACAATTTGTACTGTGCAGCTCCAGGAGCTCTGGTGGTCTCTGGTATTGAAGACCGCTGGTGCCATGCATCTTCTTGAAATGCCTCACAGTGCTTCCTCTTGATGCAGAACACCTTTTTTTTCCAGAGAAATCCTCGTTAGGGAATTGGCATTTGTTCTGAACTCATTGCCTGCTTATTGACAGGGAAGTCAGTAGCTGAGCTGATAATAGCAACCACTGTTCTTGACAGTTTTCAGGCATTTAGATAGAAATCCTGATTGTAAACAGGATTACAGTGGAAATCGCTGTGAGAGGATTAAATATGGGACCTCCTGCCATGCAGCTTGCCCTTGTGAGTTACAGATGAACTATTTGTGTGAATTCTTCTGTTTGCTTTATACTTTAAAGATATTTCAACAAAACTTGCATCTTTGGAATAAATTTGATGCTCCTCTGATCTCTTCAGTTCTTCCACCACAAAAATTGTCTAAAACAGATGTCTGCTACCAGGGAAGGAAAAAGGAACATAATAAGTAGAATACGTTTCCTAAGGAAAGCTATCCTGCTTTCATGAAATGATCCTAATAGAAGATAATAAAGCAGAAGTAGAAACTAGACTTTGGCCAAGTGGGGTTCTGTACTGCTTTGGGGACCACGCCAGCGAGGCGATGGCGATGCTGTGGCTGGGTGCTGCCCGAGTGCGCCCTTGGAAGCTGTGCCGCTGCCTCTTGATTCAACATCACTAAAGCACTGGGGTAAAATGTCAGGGGGTTGAGTGCTGAAATACCCTGGCTGATTTGTGCTCCTCTCTTTTCATCTTTCATGCTTAATAACATGCCCTCCAGCTCATTAAGGAGACACAGCTTAAGTCTATGTATTAAAAACTCGGAGATGTGGAAGGTCTAATCCAATGACCAGAAGAGTGAACAGAAGCCAAGTTTCCTGGGTGCTATTCTTAGCTCTGCCACTGGTTTACTCATCCAAAGTGGTCTTTTTTAATGGCCATGCAGTTTTCTTTCTTCACCTTTAAAAATGAAGGAATGATCCCATCTCAAAGGATTACTAAGTCTTAAAAATTCAAGATAGGATTTTCAAAGCCAGCTTGAAGATTTGGGTGTCCGACTCCTGTTTAATTTTAAGAGGAAAAGAGTGTACAAATATTTAAGCAGTTTTGACAATTTTGGTCATAACATTGGGAAGTATTTTGATGTTTCATTTGAGAAATGTTAAGCGGTCTCCAAGAAATGTTAATAGTACGTTGCCAAGGCGGTAAGTGGTGTATAAATAACGTGTTGCTCTTCGTTCTGCTGCAGCACCGTCGATGCCAGAATACGACACGGACTCCCCCCTGAACGAGACTGACACTACCATCACCGTGATGCTGAAGCCTGCTCAGTCCCGGGGAGCTCCTGTCAGGTAGGTGTTCTGTCTTCTCTTTTCACAGTTCTCCCCTCTCCTTCTCCCCAGGTTTCACTCACACCTCTCTCATTCTCCTCTGATAATGGAGCTGCTGAAAGCGAAGGCTGACGAAAAGGCTGATTCTGCTGTTGATTCTGCCTTTCACAGGCTCCTTTTATAAACTCCTCAACCTACTTGCCTCCCGCTGTTAACCTCCGGGAAGGATTACTGATAGCATTGCATGGGGTTATTACCCTTTCAGCAGCACTTCAGATGCTTTTGCAGTGCTGGAAGTTTCGTACGTGGGGCTGTGTGCTGCAGTGCTGTGCGTTGAGCATCGCCATGCGGAGGTGGAGGGAGCTTCAGGTCTCCATCTCCTGCCCTTTCTTCCATGAAGGACAAGGTCATTTTTCTAACTATTGTATGAATATCCAAACTATCTTTTATGCTCGTACGTGCATTTGTTCAGATTCTGGATCTAGCTGGACTTGTTACATCTTCGTGTTATAATCCAACATGTGGGGTGAAGTGGTGATGTGGTTCAGAAAAGATGAACTCGGGTTTAAGTGAGGCTTTGCCAGTTGTAGGTTTAAAAAAAAAAAAGCAGTTTCTGCTCACTGAGAGTTTAGGAGCAGGGAGCTGCACAGGCATCTGTGGAATAGAGCGAGGACCTTGCACAAACCATTTCTGTCCCTGAGCTGGGTCCTGTTCCCAATGGTGAGATGCTGAAATGGGGAACACAACTTAGCGGTCTGTACATCATTGTTCTCTTCCATCCAGGTGAATTTGTACATGGTGAAAGGCACCAGCACAGATGAACTAACTTCCCTTTCGAGCCAGCGCTGCCTTATCTGCCGCTGGCAGCAGTGCCGGTTGGTCATTCATCCTGCCAGGCTCTTCACTGAGAGCAGGAATTGGAGTCGCTCATGATAAAAATGCTGGATATTGCTTTGCAGAGGTATCCAGCAGCCCTTACCGCTCTGCAGGCTTTTACCTCCAGTTTTCCCAAGACACGTTTGAAATTTTTCCTATGAATGGTATTTTAAAAAACCTGTAGTCCCCTCTTTCAAAAGTGAGTTGGGTTTCTACGCCCCACTGACAGGTTCTTAGTGCTTCTGAAGGATGTCCCACTAAGTATTCAGGAGCAAATTGCTCAGATGAAAACTACTTGATTTGATGAAATATCCCGTATCAGCTGGTGGTCCACCCTGTGTCACAACATTCCCACAAATTGCATTGATACTCTCAAGCAAAAAAATCCACTTTTTAAGACTTGGCACCAAGCCCTTTCTATTTTTTCTGAGGAATGTATTTTAAAGTTTCTGTTTCAATCTCTGGTACTCCATATGAGCGAATTTAGGAGCCTATTTTCTGAGGCCTTTAGGGATGTTTTTCTGCTGGAAAAGAGCAGTAAAATCGCACAGTTCTGTTTTGTTTTATTTCTTTATATGGGGGAACATTCCTGTATCTCGTTTTACCACCTGCTGTCTTAAGAGTGTTGCTATTTTGTCTTTTTATTGAAAACTCTTGTGTTTTTTCTCAGAGTCAATTTACTATAATTTAACTGCATTCAGTGAATAATGTCTTTTCCAGCAAATGCATCGGTTATAAAAAAATGTGTAGAGATTTTTATAAATTGTCACTCTGGTTTCTTTAATTGCACTATAGGCTATTATACACACATTTGCAGAGAGTGCAATATTTACATATCACATCTGAGTGATAAGATTACTTCCTATTATGAGCCCATTTCATTGACTTACAGATGTGTGTATGAAAGCCAGAATGGATAGGGGCAGGGTGGTTAGGGGGTCTTGGGGAGAATTGTAGCTTTTCATTAACTATGATACCCTCGGAATGTGTGAATACTTTTCTCTGTACAACCATATAGACTCTTCTTAGTCTAGCCTTCACAAATCCAGTTATTTCAACCTTAGATTTTCCCAGCCTCTTTCCTTTTCTTCCAGTCTGTTCTTCATACTCTCCACTTTGTGTAAATTCTCTCGACAAACCACATCGAAAAGCAGGTAGCACTCCTTTGGAAGCCTCAACAGCACCCAGCAGGTTGGAAGAATAACATACTGAGAACTGCCTGTGACATTCTTAACACACGAGAATGAGGTGTTTCTTCCCCCTTGGTGTTTTTTTCATATTCAAGCTGAGTTACAATATACCCTCTTTGTTGTTGTCTGGTTCATTTTTCTACCTTTAGTTTGTGGGTGTTTTATTTCTCCTTCACAAGTATAGTGCTTTCCATTCATCTCTATTAAATATGATAAAATTGATTTTCAAAATGTTTTAAAATTCTGATACAAACTTAAATGACTTAGAGCCCCTCTTAGTCTGATGCTATCCTCTGTTCAGTTACCCAAGGCGTTAGTGAAAACAGTTTCAAGACAAATGACAGTGAGAAACCTCCATGTGCAGCAGTGAGGCGGGGTGGCGGTAGCTGGAGTATCCTGCACGGTGCAGCGTGCCGGTAGGATGTCTGTTCTCCTTCCTTGTAGACATGACCATGCTTTCCTAGATCTGACCTTTCGTAGCCCAGACTGCCTGAGATGGCTCTGAAGAGGTACTTTAAAGTATTCAGGAGTAGATTTTCCCCACACCTTATAGAATCATAGAATCACAGACTGGTTTGGGTTGGAAGGGACCTTAAAGCCCATCCAGTGCCACCCCCTGCCATGGGCAGGGACACCTCCCACCAGCCCAGGTTGCCCAAAGCCTCATCCAGCCTGGCCTTGAACCCCTCCAGGGATGGGGCATCCACAGCTTCTCTGGACAACCTGGGCCACTGCCTCACCCCCCGCACAGGAAAACATTTCTTCCTCACATCTCATCTCAATCTCCCCTCTTTCAGTTTAAAACTTCTTGCAAATCCTCTGCTATTCAGGTCTTTCACTATGCAGGAGTAGGTCAACCCCTTATCTCATCAACCTGGCAGTTCTCCCGGCAGCCAGTCTCTGCTCTGCAGTGCCCCGGGTTTTTATTATACTCTGAAGAGGAAAAAAACTGACTATACAGTAATTATTCTTAATATTTCCCCCTCTGTGCTAGATATGGTGAGCTGGAGTACGCGTGGGGGTGTGACTGTAAACTCGTATCAGTACATGAGATAGTTCAGTGCTGGTGTTATTTCATTCTGCTGTAGCCTGAGCAGCATACAGATGGAGCAGGGTCTGCGAGATCATTTTTAGAGTAATATTGTAGAACAGTTCCAATAAGATTCATTGTATTTCCATCCATCTGAAATGCACGTACACCAAATCCAAAGTCACTTTCAACATTAAGACATATCTGATGTTCCCCAGTGCTCATGATAAATAACTTAAATGAGGTTGTTTAAAAAACTAATGATCATGAGCTTGGCATTGTTAATGATGTATAGATAACATTGAAGATGCTTTCGTATGAACTAATAGGAATAATATAAATTTAGATATTCTTTCATCTATTTTTTCCTGTTGCCAAAAGAAAGATGAAGCCTTAGCAAGCATAAATAGTCTCCCTTGTGGCATAAGCATTTCATTCTTGCCTTTATTTTCCTTGATGTAACTTGCAGAGCTTGACTCCACATTACCCTTTAAAAATAACTTTTAGGTGTTCTTATATCAATCTCAAGCCGGTGAATGGTGCTGTGATTGATTTGCTGAAGACTGACATTCATCTATAATAGATTCAGAAGAGGAGAGAAGAATACAAGTGTTCCAAATCTTTACTCCTCCACTCTTTCCTGAAAATCTCCAGTGTGATTTTCAGGATAATTCTGCCTTTGAATCTGTTATTGTCAGGAGGCTTGAGTCAGTCCTTCATAGATTATTCACAGATGACATCTTTAGACCTCTGCTTGAGAATTTGTGTCCCATTCACTGCTTGAAAATAGCAGTGTGAGGGATTTTATCTACATGACGTGTCCACTGGGCTCTTTTTTGTGTGTTGGATGTTTGAAAGTCCATCTGGTTTATTAACATGCGGTTAGCTCTGTCAGTCTACCTATGCTACTATTATGGAGAAAATAAGATTTCCAGAGCATATATTAGTTTTGAGGACTCCAGAGTTTAAATAAATGCTCCCCTAGGTGTGATTGCCTTGTTGATATGTTGCTCAGTGCACTGGAGCTGTAGGACACTGTAGAAGGACGTTAGAGAAGCAACTGCAATTATTTTGGGGGGGTTTCAGACCATGAAGAACTTTATTGATGGAAAAAGATGGATTTAATCTCCCTGTCTTCCTGCAGCCCCTGAAGAGTATCAGTAAATAACCCATGATGTTATTTTGTGTCTGCCAGCATGCAGGTGCAGGATGGTCTTTAGGTGCCTGATCCCTGTACTGAGCTAAAGCATGAAGTTATTAAAACAAAGGTACTCAAGCTTTGCACATGCCCTTATGCATGTATGTGTATACATTTGTGTGGGAGAATAGATTTATTCGATCTACATGCAGTGTAAGTAGCATGGGTAAGTGGTCCTGGAGAAATATATCCAGGTAAGAGTCATCTATTGTGTACACGTGCAATGGCTGGATGCATGTTATTGCTTTGGTGATGAGGAATGATGGGTTAGTTTGTTAATGTACATCTTAAAGGAAATAAGAAAATCTGAATAGAAGAAGGGGAGGTAAAATATTTTAAACATATTTAGAAGTTTTGAGCAAAGCTGAAACAAATATTTTCATATCAACAGCCAGCCAGTAGGAAAAATTAATTTACATGGACCAAGATCTGTGTGATTCTTGAGTATTATGCTCTGATTTGTGGTCTCTCAAGCAGGAAATATTTTTGGTCTGCATGATGCTAAACAAACTAAGAGAAAACAGTTCTAATGTTATTTAACAGAACACCTAAGAACAGGTTTCTTTTTTTATTCTCGCTTTATGCTCAAGCTATTCTCCAAGCAAACAATCCTGTATGATGTGTCTGTGTACATATGTATTCCTACATATAGTAACAAATGGAAATTTCCTGTGACAAAGGGAAGTGGTATTGCTTCCATTTTATGTTAGAGAACTGAGACTTTGAC